TTGATGACAATGTGAGGTGTAATGTTTGYTAAAGCAATTATACACGAATATTTATACTTTATCTGTCATTTTGTTGTATTTATGTAGCAAGTTAACCTTACAAATGACACAAGTCGGAAGTGAAAATATTCAGGATGATTTCTAGATATTTAGTAATAATTTTGACAGCAAAGTTTGACTACGAAGTTTTACTAATAAATAGGAAGACAATTTTTTATTTTTTTATGAACATACTGCCATAAATTATTCGAATAACTTACTCCTTGCCACTGTGGCTTCTCTTTAATGCTTAGCCTATATATAATAACCGGCCATAAACAAGCTAATTACAATGAAAGTATGCTTGACAGCAATAAAGAGCCAATTGTTTGTTATAGTATAGGAAAAAGTCACGGAATCTGTTCTCAAATATGTGGTGTTACAGATCTTACAGAACAGCGTAGTGGTTGCTAAGTTGATTTAGTGCTTCACAAAGACACCTTATACGGTAATATTTTTCGTTAGTGAGAATAGAAACCACATAACAATTTTCTTTGAATATTTGGTCAAAAAATATTCTAACCCAATTTTTAACGCGCCTTGGAAACATTCATCGTTTATAAGGCTAAGAATATGTCAAATATGTGCGTATCTTTTCATCAAAGTGTACCCAAAATGGTTTCAGCTGGTCAACTATTATGTTATTACTATTTATGTATTTTGCGATACTACAATTGTTCTATTCAAATTTTAAAGACCTTTATAGATATTTGATCTTTAGATGATACTAGAGGCCAAAAAGTAGTCAATTGATGAAAGTTTTCCAACAAAGTAAGATGGTTCTCAGTTGGTCGAATAAATTTCTAAAAAGGCCGAAGCGATCACATATGAATATTTATTATTAGCTAAATAGCGATTTCAAAAAAGTTAAGAAGAAGTGAGTGTTTCAGTTTTGGCAATGTGTTAAAACTCAAAACTGAATAAAACTAGATAGCGCTATGAGTTATAYAGAAAAGATCAGGAAAGCCCTAATTTTTTAAGGGCAAGTTGAGTTTATAAGTTAAATAAAACAAGGCTATCTTATGATTAAAACGTTAAAATATTCAAATAAAAGTCCTAAAGGTTTCATACACTTCGGCAGGCTACTCTCCAAAAGATTRGATCTGTAACGAAGGAAGTCATCACAAATGCAATAGTCTGTCAGTATGTTTGGAATAWCTTGGGATAAAATTTATGACAAAAAACTCCGATCATAACTAGCTGTACATTTTTTGTTATCAAAAACTTACATTACAATAGGTAGTATATATGGGCTTAAGAGAGTTATTTCCACATTTCAATTGATYTTTTTAGCATATTTCGAATATAAATGTAGTATATCTGAGAATATTCACAAAAAATTCTAAGCGGATCCAGTTTCAGAGAATCTAAAAAATTGTCAACAAGAAAGCAAATTTTATGGCTTTTTGAATGTTTACCTTACCAGGAAGCAGATGCTCAAAGTAAATCAAGAGCAAAATTAAAGCACCAAAAATGCTAATTTTTGAGTAATGCCATTTCATAAGTTAATGAAAGCTTTTTTAAACAATTGTACTTGTATTCATTTTTTCTTCTTACATACATAAGCCGTATAAGTATATATTGAATTTCAAATGTCGCTCAATCACCTCAWTCAATGATAACCAACGCCTTGTATTTATTTGTGTGCAATGTGAATGAAAATCGTAATAAAATACAGCCAGTTAATAGACAGAGAAAATTATCAGCACTATAAATTTATTACATACATAAGTATATGTGTATTTGAAATGTCTGCCAAGCAATAAGCATAAACAAGTAAACATCCAGTAAAATATCGCCACAATTCTTACAAAAATTAAAATGCAAAATTCTCTAAAAAAAAAAAGCTACTCCCTACGATTGAATATTTAATTAGGTTGATTATTAGCGATATCTTTAGTCTATCAGAGAGTTTGCATTAATTATACAGTACGTCTGCGACACATATGCCCCCAACGGCATGTACCTGTTTATGGGTACATCTGTATGTACATGCATCACTCGGCACTTTTACCTGTTATTCCAGCTGCTTCAATTATTTGCAATTTATATGCCAATCAGGTGGTGTGAAATATTTCTGGTTGCTTTCAAATGGCAAAATTCCTGTATTTGTTCTATTATGAAATAATTCTAKCTGCAGCGCGCTGGTGAAATTTGGCAATTAATGCGAAAAAATTAAATTCCAAAAAAATCTAAAATTTTTTGAACAATGGTGTGTGTGGATTCTATAATTAGCAAGTAAGCTGCTTACGGTAATTTTTCATATAGCAAGGTAATTTTTCATATAGGTAAGCTGAAAAATAATTGATATTTAGACATAAAAAGCTCTGTTTATTTGTTGCAACTGTTTATGATTTTTGGAAAATTTCTACAATTTTATATAAAATTCATAGGATTGAAGACAAATTTAAGTCAACTTTCATTGAATTGAAGTAAAASTTTCCAAAATGTTTTTAATACTGCTTTCTGTAGACTTTTGGAGRAATCATGGAAAGAAATATTTTTTTTAGCATTCGCTTAAGAGCAAGATATTAAAAGCAGATATAGAAGCCGTATTCCATTTAGACACTTCTCTACACTCTCATAATGCTTATCACTRCTTTCCGTAAGAAAAAATTACCCGAATACAACACATACAATAGCAGGAAATAAATTGTTATTTCGCTGAAATTTTATAATCCCTCACAATTCTAACTGTTGAATTATACCAGTATTCGAGAGTTATGCCACTTGTTTACTCTATTCGTTACTCTACACTACCCTCTAAAGATTGGTGCTTTAAATGTATCACCTAATTTGATTGCTCCTTCCCCACCTGTAGAATGTATTGTATAATGGGTAATCGTCATGTGTTTTTAAYGCAAATGAAAAGACGAGGCGAAGAGATCAATAAAAAGCAATTAAAAGGYCAATAAAACATCTAGCAAAAATTTTGTGGGCTATTATGATAACCGACTATTTGATGACTGAAATTGAAGCTTGTGATCTCGGCTACATTTGGTTTCAACAAGACAGCGCCAGGGCTGAACAACGGTTGCTGTCTTTTTCAGTGTTTTAAAATATTATTTATTTGGAAGAAGTGGTAGCGAAAAGTTTTGCGCAAAGTGAGCTTTTGGTAGTTTGTTGATAATGCTTTGATAGTTCCAAAAATATTTATAGAATTTTTGCACATAACAAAATTGCTTTGATAATATAATGTTTTAAACACGAAAATTGTGAAACTGAATACACTTGATTGGATTAATTATCTTAAAGTGCATAAAAAAATTAATTCACAAATAAATTATTTTTATCGTTTCTTTATAAAAAAGTAATATAATTTGATTTCAATTAAATTTTTTATATAATAATTTGAATATTTGTTTTTGTTTTTATTTGATATCAATTTAATAAAGTAGAGGTTATAATGAAATTCTTTAAGAAATTAAAATTACAGAAAATAATGACAAATTTACTCTATATCTACAAAATTGTAAATTCATTTTGAAAGAGAAAAAATGAAGAGAAACGAA